TTTGGGGTATTTTGGGGCTGGTTTGAGGTATTTTGGGGCAGTTTTGGGGTATTTCAGGTGGGGTTTGGGATATTTCAGGGGGGGTTTGGGGTATTTTGGGGTGGGTTTCGGGTATTTCAGGTGGGGTTTTGGGGTATTTCAGGGCAATTTTGGGGTGTTTGGGGTATTTTGGGGTGGGTTTCGGGTATTTTGGGATTTGTGATATTTCAGGTGGGGTTTGGGATATTTCAGGTGGGGTTTGAGGTATTTTGGTGCAGTTTTGGTGTGTTTTGGGGCAGGTTTGGGATATTTCAAGGCAGTTTTGGTGTGTTTTGGGGCGGGTTTGAGGTATTTTAAGGCAGTTTGGGGGTGGTTTGGGATATTTGAGGTGGGATTTGAGGTATTTTGGGGCATTTTTGGGGTGTTTTGTGCTGGTTTGTGCCCCGTGTGTGACATGATACCCGTGTCCCAGCGGGTGCTGCTGCTGCCCGAGCCCTGCACGCTGGACATCGACGGGGTGGTGCTGGGGCTCAGCTCCACGGACGTGCTCTTCCACATGGGAGCTGAGGAGATCAGCAGGTGGGGCCCTTTACACCCTTTTCCACCCTTTTTCCCCCTTTTCTCCCCTTTTTCCCCCTTTTTCCCGCTTTTTTTTAACCTTTTCTTTCTCTTTTATCCCCATTTTTCAACTTTTTCCTCCCCTCTTTTTTCCCCATTTTCCCACCTTTTTCCCCCCTCCTTTTCCATTTCCTCCCCACTTTTCCTCCCCTTTTTTCTTCCCCATTTCCCCCCTTTTCTTCCTCCTTCCCCCCTTTTTCTTCCCCCTTTTTATTTGTTCCCCTTTTCCCCCTTTTTCTTCTTCCCCACTTTCCCTCCTCCTTTTTCTCCCCTTTGTCTTCCTCCCCTTTCTTGCTTTCCCACCCTTTTTCCCCATTTCTTCCTCCCCCTTTTAATTCCCCCCTTTTTTCCTTCCCCCACTTTCCTCCCCCTTTCCCTTCTTACCCCCATTTTCCCCCTCCCAATTTTCCCCCTTTCCCTCCCTTTTCCCGCAGCTCCTCCGGGATCTCCGACCGTTTCACGCGGATCCTGCGGCACATCCTGACCCAGCGCAGGTGAGGGCCCAAAATGGCCCCAAAACGGCCCCAAAACGACCCCAAAACGGTCCCAAAACAACCCCAAAACAGCCCCAAAACAACCCCAAAACAACCCCAAAACAACCCCAAAACAGCCCCAAAACGGCCCCAAAACAGCCCCAAAACGGCCCCAAAACAGCCCCAAAACAGCCCCAAAATGACCCCAAAACAGGCAAATCCTCTCCCGTCCCCCCTTTGAAATAATTTTTGACCTTAAAAAGGCCCTTTTTGGGGTTGGGGACCCCAAACTGTGTCTGTGCCCCATAACTGTGTCTGTGCCCCCAGTTTCTACCCACTGTACCCACCATTGGAGGTGTCTGTGCCCCATAACTGTGTCTGTGCCCCATAACTGTGTCTGTGCCCCCCAGTTTCTATCCCCTGTACCCACCCTTGGAGGTGTCTGTGCCCCCCAAACTCTCTGTGCCCCATAACTGTGTGTGTGCCCCCAAACTGTGTGTGTGCCCCATAACTGTCTGTGCCCCATAACTGTCTGTGCCCCCCAGTTTCTACCCCCTGTACCCTCCGTCGGAGGAGTTGAACGTTCACCACGAGGTTGCAGCGCTCGGGGCCCGGCTGCCCCTCACCCCCGACGTGCTCATCACCCCCTCCCAGCTCAGGTTCTTCGTCAAGGTCAGAGCCCTGAGCCCAATCCCAGATCCCAAATCCCTGAACCCTGATCCCATCCCTGAGCCCTGATCCCAATCTCAGATCCCTGATCCCACAGCCCTGATCCCTGATCCCAAATCCCTGTTTCTTCCTCGAGGTCAGAGCCCTGATCCCACAGCCCTGATCCCAATCCCTGAGCCCTGATCCCAAATCCCTGAGCCCTGGTCCCAAATCCTTGATGCCTGATCCCAATCCCTGAGCCCTGATCCCAACTCCCAGCTGCACTTCTTCATCAAGGTCAGATCCATGAGCCCTGAGCCCAATCCCTGATCCCAAATCCCAAACCAGATCCCAAATCCCTGGTTCTTTGTCAAGGAGGGGTCAGCTCCTGGGGTCTGGATCAGTGGGAGCTGGAGACTCTTGGGGTCCAGGGTGACTCTGAACAGCCCCCTGGCTGGATCTGGGGGTTCCCAACACCCATCCCAGATGGATCCAGGTGTTCCCAACACCCATCCAGGTGTATCCCAGTGTTCCCAACACCCATCCCACTCTATCCAGGTGTTCCCAACACCCATCCAGGTGTTTTTGTCACTCATCCCAGCTGGATCCAGGTGTTCTCACCCCCCCTCAGCCATACCCTGACCCTCCCCATGCCCCCATTCCCCCATTCCCACATTCCCCCATTCCCACATTCCCCATTCCCACACTCCCCATTCCCGCAGGACGTCCTGGGCTGTGTCTGCATCAACCCCGGGCAGCTGACCAAGGGCCGGGCCGGGGGCACCTTCGGCCGCCTCTGGATCCACCGGGAAGAGCCGAGGGAATCACCCACGGAATCACCCACGGAATCACCCACGGAGCCGCGCAGGAACCCCTGTGTGGCTGCCCAGATCCTCCGGATCTGAGCCCTCAGGATCCAATCCCTTGGGATCTGAGCCCTCGGGATCTGAGCCCTCGGGATCCAATCCCTCAGGATCTGAGCCCTCTGGATCTGAGCCCTCGGCTCCGGCTCCACGCCTGGAGTTCTGATGGAAACGCCTGGAATTCCGATGGAAACACCCGGAATTCTGGTGCAAACCCCCCCAGTGACCCCCCCCGGAAGGTTTTTCTCCTGCTGGACTTGCCCAGGAAAAGGGGGTTTGGGGGTGGGAAGGTCTGGAATCAGGTCTGGAATCAGGTCTGGAATCAGGTCTGG